AGTGCGGTTATGCCATCATATCCCTGCCTCTATGCCAAATCGAAATTATTATTGCTGTTTTTGAATCATCCCCATTGGGGAGGGGGGGGGGGGGGGGGGGGGGACTCCCATATCAAAGTGACGGGGGTGATCGTCAGAAATTTTGACAAAAAAAATCCTAAAAGGTACCAAAATGTGGCTCGAATTCATTTTCACCTCTAAGAGGTACCAATTCTAAGAATTCATGTTCAACCTATAAGAGGTGCCAACGTCTAAGACAAAACTAGTACCTGTGATATTTTTTTCGGGCCTAATACCCAAATGGTACCGGAATACCTCTAACAGTAGCCATTTTAGATCTTAACACCCTAAGCGGCACCAAACCACGAATTTTAACGCCTAAAAGGTACAACGAACACCCCCGTCACTTTTATACTGACTCAGGTTGACGAAACGTCATTTACCGACAACAGCGAGTCCTTTATTACTCCCTCACCAAAGCGATCACACAAGACGGACTATTAATAATTTTCGGTTCAAACCAGGTACTATAGAGTGTAAAGTGTGACGTCACAAATTTTCAATTATTTTTATCAAGCCTCAAAATCATTAGAAAGATTGCCGCTGTGTGATCAGCCAGAAAATTTAAATTTGTTAGTACGAATAGAGCAGAAGATATAGAGGTTCAAAAGTTGGTACCGTCCCTTACAAACCTCTCTAATTTTGCGCTTGTTCTAAAACTGAAGGAACAGACGCAAAATTTGAATGGTTTGTATGGTAAAATTAAAATCTGAAGTGCCCACATCTCTCATCGCAAAATGCAATGGAGAGCTAAATTTGGCAAGTGGACGTTTTTGAATGTGTGTCCTCCGAATAGCTGATCAAAATTCCATAATTTGGCAAATTTAATTTTTGTAACGTCATGACTTTAGTACTCTATTGTCGTTAGAATGACCTATAACACTTGAAATCGCACCCAGTTTCATTAAAAAAAACAAAAAAACAATAAAGACCAGTAAATTATGAATGCCAATTAGACCAGGTAGGAAAATTATAGTCGAACCTCCATAAAGGACACCTCCCCTATGCGCACACTCGCCACACATGAAACCTCATGATCACAGCAGCAACCACCTCCGAGGAAGGGACTTCACGTCACTTTTATATGGGAGACGGATGCGGACGCGTTATGAAACTATACGTAATTCAACACTCTGGTCTCGCAAAAGAAAGTTGAGCTTGGACAGTCTTGAATTATTTAAGGTTCGACAACACCTCTCTCAAACATAATTAGTTGTTTATCAACTCGCCGCCGTAGCGAATTTCTAGAAGCTAACGTTTCGAGCGTTTGCCTTTCGTCGGAGCAGTCTCTCAAAGTCTCTCAAACATAGCTTCCACCTTGGCCTACGATATGTACAATTGTAATTCATTTTAAAAAACATAGTTGATTCTTTGAAAGAAATGATGGTATATTTTAAGCTTGGCAGAAATATGAGAAAGATATTATTCTGTCAGTGACACAACGGCTACTCGGAACAAAAAATCCGAGTTCCCCCAACAGGAGTCGAACCTATGACCTTCCGCACACCGGTCGGACGCTCTAGGCCATGTAACTAGGTTCAAGTGTGACAAACATTCCGCATACTGCCGCATACTGCTAGGATTAGATTTGTCGATTTTTCGATGATTCTTGTTGGGAGTTTAACCTTCACGGATACATATACCTTCACAGGTTATACCAGAGGTCTATAACTAGAGGTTTCCATCTAGCATTGCGCGCGGCCCATCAGATTCGTAGTTAGGCTATTTTTAGACATTTTTCGCGCGAAACCAGCAGCCAATCACGCACCGTGCCTGACAAATATGGTCAGTGAACGCGCTAGCTCGACAATTTTTGTTCAAGACGGTTTGTTCGTCGATTGAAACGATGGCTAAAATCACTAAGTAAAAAGCCTTGGCCCTTCTAAATCAAACAAAAGTTGACTCTACTAAATAATGCACGAAGTTTGAAACGAAATATTTAATGGAAAATGCCTGTAAAATGTACAACTAATGCGACTGAAAGAGCACTAAAGGCAGCCTGAAATTAATTTACGGGAAGATCAGACCAAAGAATGAAAACCTGTTTACAACACAAGTTTAAGCTTAGTCTATTCAGTATTGTTACCTTGTATTTCGAAGAGGCTTGTCAATTCCAGCTGAATTAAGGTTTTAAAATCAGCACAATAAATATCCATGGATCAGATCAGATATATAAAGCTTATAAGCTTACGGCAGTTCGTCAAGCGTTCGTGACAGTCAATCATTCAAAGATCACTTCACAGTGAAATTCTCTTCGAAGACCACTCTCTTTCTTTCCATCCATGTAGATATTGAGGGTTTCCTTGTTCTTTTACTTCAATGAACTTGATTTTAAGCTCAGACGTTCGTTAATTCTGTAGTCGCGCAAGTTTTGCCCGCCGTATACATGTAAACAAGTGAAACCTTCGGCTGCGTATAGCTGTCCGTTCAACTTGTAAAATGAATATAATGTTCAGCTCGACAATTATTTCGAATCTTCCCATGTTAAGCTAAACCATCTGCACAATTTTCCAGAATATACGAAACTTTGGAGAGATTGAGCGAAGATTAATCCGCGGAGAAAACTTTGTCTTGCTTTCAATTCTTTTCATTCAACTTGCCAACTGCATGGACACCGCGCCAGAAGTTTTGCCGCCGAATTCATACAAATCATGCTTCATTTAGATTGAACTGAAAAATCACTCAGTCGATTTATAATTTTACCAAAAAGTATACCGAAGTTTGACCTAAATTTAGTGAAGTATTTAAACAATTATTACATTCTGCTGTGACGCTTTTCGCGGCTTTTCCTTGGCCGGCAAAGTTTCTGCCTTTGAGTAGCGCTCGCATATCAAAAATGGTTCAACGTGATTGGCTGCTGGTTTCGCGCGAAAAAATGTCTAAAAATAGCCTAACTGCGAATCTGATGGGCCAAGACCCAATACCAGAGATGGAAACCTCTAGTTATAGACCTCTGGTTATACTGATTTTATGGTGACTGCAATCCAACTTACCTCATACATTCCGATAAAGCTGATAAGGTATGTGCTAATGACACGAGTTGAATACTTGAATTCTGAGGAGAAAGAAGTGTTAAAATTACATGAAACAAGCTTCAGAAGCTTTCAATCGTCACAATGACTATTAAATAGATCTAGCTGTCCTAATTTTTATTCCGATATGTCCTGATATACAAGTTACAATCCCGGACAAAACTGTTGAGACACCTGTGTTCATAACAATTCATTTGATTTATTGGCGTGCTGGTCCAGTTGTTCGAATTAACACTAAGTAACCTAGAAATGATTACTGATAACTTTTGAAAATGCATTCATGGAGTTGGCGCTAATCCTAGGTAAGCTTAACCCTTTCGCTCCCAGAGTCAAACATTGAGTCAATAAATATGGTTGTACCTTTTTGAGTCTGTGGATAACACCCTTGTGTGTGACCATTCAAATGAAAGCTATTGGGCAGTACTGCCATTGTTTTTGACAATTTGGCAAAATGAAATTCAATTTTTCTTCAGTTTTTGAACTTAGCACTTTTGGGAGTGAAAGGGTTAATACTGCTTTCAACTACTGGGTCTGCATCGTTGCCTTCCGTCATTTTCGCTCTGGCATTGAATGGAAAATTACAGTTATTACTCCTTGTTCTAATTTCCTATCGAGGAATTAACGCAGGACACTTATGAGGTAAATAGCAGGCGCGGTGGCCTAATGGTTATCGCGTTGGACTCCAGATCGAGCTGTCCGGGTTCGATCCCTGGCCGTGATGTTCTTGGGCAAGGTACTTAACACTCACATTGCCTCTCTCCGCCCAGGAGCTCGAGTAAATGCGTACCGGCGAATTTTCAGGACAATCTTACAAAAATGTTGGGGGGATATTGCGATGGACTAGCATCCCATCCAGGGCCCGGTTGTTCAAAGCACGATTAAGCTAATCCTGGATTAGCGTGAATTTTGATTTCAGTTTTGTAACTTTTCAGTGAAATTTTCTGTTTATATTTTTTGCTCTTTAGTTTTGACTTTGACTAATGTCAAACTCCACAAAATATTATCATGGAAAACCACATTTATATAGGAGAAATTGGAACCTCGATTATTTGTTAATCCTGGATAAGCGTTGATCGGCTTTCGAACAACTGGGCCCAGGGGAGTAGCGATACTCCTAGTCGCTTCATGCTATGGAAAGCGCCAGCCTGATAAGCCACTAACTAGGATTGTAGATAGACTTCGCTTCATTGTGAACATAAATATACTTAGCATCTACTGCCGGACGTACAAATGCTCAAAGCTGGCCGAGATTACCTAACAATGTTAAAATGTATGCGCAGTAAGAATCTTGTTAGTCATACCCTGGGGGGGGTACTCAAAAAAGTTTTATACGGGGAGGCTCCGCCCAGAGGTTCAAACCCTTACCCTTCCATATACCATGTTTCACAGAAAAAGGTACCCCTTTCATATACCTTCCATAGAAATTATGAAAATGGTACCCCTTTCACATACCTACAGTAGAAGCACTGCATCCCTTTTCTATATCCTTGTAATGAACTTAATGAACAATATATATCACCAGAAATCATCAAGCATTACGGTAGAGATGTTAACCATGCAAACAATAATATCATTTACTCGTGAAATCCCTACCCTTTCATATACTTCAACTCGTGAAATCCCTACCCTTTCACATACCTCGAGCCTAAAAAAGGACCCCTTTCGGGCGGAGCCTCCCCGTATAGTCCATTATAGGGAGTACCCCCCCCCCCCCCCCCCGGAGTCATACATGTACTTGGAGTATGGTCTTATATTTCAATATTGCGGTCTGACAAGGCAGTCTGGACTCTGGGATCCGGGCAAATTTTACTGAGCACTAATTCACTCATACCTGGTTTCCATTTGTAAATTTTTTCTTTAAGCCTTCCTTTAAAAGACGTGCTCGTCGTGATGTTTCTATGTCTAGCAAAACAAAAATTAAAACAGCATTTAACACCTATCGTTTACTATGTTCGGTTTTCTTTGTTCTTTGATTATTCACCTCTTATTATTTGAACAGAGGTACGGGGCTGATAATAACGATAATACCGTGAAAGCTCTATTTAGCCCCCCTTAATATTAATACCCCCCCCCCCCCTTAATTCCCCCCTCCCACCCCCAGACCCCACCCCCCTTTCCGTCAGGCTGATGTAAATTCAGCAATATTTTCTGGCGTTTCAGTCACTTTGTATTGAATAGCGGTCTGTCATTTCCAGAACTATCGTTGAGTTAGAGTATAAGAAGATGGTGATACATAACCCATTTCTCAGGCGGTTCTGTTTTAGTTAGTAGTGTAATAGTGAAGTTTGAAAACATTAATGTGAATTTTCTCGAAAATTTATGATTTTAAATAAGCTCCCCCTCTCTTTTAAGCCCCCATCTCTAATAAGCCCCTTCTCGAGGCTCGAAATTAAATAACCCCGGGTTAATAGAGCCTTTACGGCAATAATAAACAAACAACGTAATACATTCTCCTCATCATTCTCTGACAGTCTCTTTCGAGTCTGCCAAAAACCCTCTTGTTTGGAAATACCAATATGGCGGCCGTAACATGCTCTATAAAGGGTCTTCAAATGCTCTATAATTATTTTATATTCCAAAACAGCTCAGTTGTTATATGGCGATTAGGTGTTTTCAAAAGATCAGCTCGAAATTTATTTCCCAGCACATGAATAAAACAACGTACTCTTTTGGTATTGGCTCCAAAAGCTTAACCACATATTTGTATTTGTAAAACGTCATCCACTCGTTCTCTTCATCCTACAAAATAAAATGAAATAAAATCAAGTCAATCTTCTCATTAAAGAGTTTATCATTTTAACCCCGATACAGAGAAACCCGGCCACTGATTTTTAAAGACAATGATCAGACATTTTCACGTGAATAACGAACTCAGATATAACGAATTCCAGCGAAAGCATTGTAGCGAACACATTTTCCAGTCCCAACAGCATTTGGGTCGTGGAGAAAATATAACCTGGTTTACAATGACTGGATTTAGTCATCCCACTGAAACGCTTCCATGTTTCGAAACACTGGGTGTTCGTTATATCGGAGTTAAGACGGATTCCGCTCGACGTTCGAGCAATAAGTGCAAAAATTAATTACTAAAAAACTACTCATAGCACGGTAACATTTTGAACACTATTTGGAACATATCACTTTAATTCACTTCTCCAAGTGACCCCGCAATTCAATTCTCAAGCATTCTCGAGAAAATTAATGTCGAACCTCGTAAAAAATGATAAAAACGCACGCCATTTTGTTTTGAACTGACATGAAGCGTATTTTTAATTAAAATATGTAATGACTTCTCTCGCGGGGTCAGCTTGGGAGCTAATTTATCGATAATTTCTTCTTAACTGTATTCAAAATGTTACCGTGCTATGAGTATTTTTTTGGTAACTTAATTTTTTGCACTTTTTGCTCGAACGTCCAGCGGAAATCGTCTTAATTCAATAACGAACAGCCCCGATCAAACGGTCTCAACCTTTGTCTCAACATTTGTTGAGTCGAGTTGAGTCATATTGATACCATGCCGTGTCAAACGGCCTCAACGACCTCTCAACAAATGCTCAACAAGTAAGACGCGTGAGGTCTGGGACTGAGAACATGACAATATTGAAAGAACGTGTAAAACGGCCAAAACATTTCGAGAACGAAAGAAATGTTGAGAAGATGTTGAAACAAAGTTTAAACGAAATCAAACTCTTCTCAGCATCGGCTCAAGAGGGGGTGTCAAACGGCCTCAACATCGGCTCTCAACAAATGTTGAGAAAATGTTGAGACTGTTTGATCGAGGCTTAATGAGACTCGCTCGGTTCTTTTTAAACGAGGTTCGTCAGTTTATAAAAGTAACTCGTGTATCGCGAGCCAAGCGTTAAACGTACTAACACTGAAGAAGGGGTTATCCCCGAAACGTCTGACTGTCTTTATCAGATCAGTTATGAGCACTCCAAACTTACAATTTTTATGGGTACTGCGCTTGCGCAAGTTCCCATTATTGTCGTCGTCGAAGCATTCTTAACATTCCTTCGTAAGACTTTCTTCGTAAGACAAAATTTTGTCAAGCGTCAAAACTGACAGATTCGTCAATTCACACACATTAATCTCAAGGTTACAGCGATGATTATTCGCTTGCCTCGGTCCGTACAACTTGTACCGGTCCAAAATTTTACCTGCTAGCAGCACCTATACTGATGTTTGAGTAGCACAATTTGCTTTACAAGCAGTGAACAGTGCACGTCCGATCGGGTACAAGTTTGCGCTAAAAAGTGACAGTGACAGTCGGGAAAAGCGGCAAGAAACATGCAAGTCGTTTAAAATTTCAGTCCGAGAAGAAGAAATATCTAGTTAATCAGTTTGTGTATCATACCACGAAGGCAGGAGAGTAAAAACTTTAGAAAGTACTGGTTTTAAAAGATTGTCGAGGAGTTGAATGCAAAATTTCACAGCAACAACAGAGGTTTTCGGTTTCTACGTGATTGATATGTTGTGGTTCGCCGCAAGGTCACTGATGTTCTTACCACATTTTGACGTCTTCTGTGATCTATTACTGAACAGACCCACGGCAACATGGAATCTATTTGTTTTATATAATTTTGGAGATATTCGCTTCGGATTTTCACTTGAATGTACGCTAAATAAGCCGATAAAAATTATGTCAACAAACATCGAGTTTAGGCCACAGTGTTTTCATGCACTCAAATAAAACTTTGTGAAAACTAAACGGCTTAAAATAAACTACAGCTCAACTCAGCAAATGTTTCGAAAAGCAAATATTTAGAGACTAACCTCTATTCCGTCCTGATATGAGGAAAAACAATCTGAATTATTCCAGTCCAAATCCCGTTGCAAGTCGCTTATAAACGGCGAACGATAAGCTTAATCCCGCTAAATTTATCGGATTCTGTTCACAAATTATGAGCTAAAGGACCATCATATTTTCCTCCAAGTTCTAGCCAAGCTTGAACAGCCGATTTAAAATTCGTATCAATTGAACAACATTGAATTTCCTACGGAATATTTCCAGTTTGACGAAAATATTTCTCTGTTTTGAGCGAAGGATTTGTTGGAGCAGGCAGGGCGCCCGCGCGTTTTCCCGCTTCGTGACGTCATTCGTGCGTCTGTACTCTAATAGATAACAGTTCTAAACCAATCACGGCGCGAGTTTTACACAGTGAATTATATAATTATTTTTAGATTCTGTTTATGTCAGCGCGAATGCTGCTGTGTAAACAAAGATATTACAGTATGACGACAATCAGAAGAGTATGAGTGATGAGTGATTTGAGAATTTTGTTATGTCAGCATGAATGCTGCGAATGATCAAAGCCGCGTGCTGGATTGCAGAAAATTAATTCACCGCGCTTTCGGGAGTCTGACGTTGGACATCGTGACAAAATGATATTAGAAAATGGATTTTAGATCTACTATTGTTAAGTGTGTTAAATTTTTTTCGAAACGAGGAATGATTTTAATATGAAAATATCTTCTAAAATTAACGACGAACTTTATATCTGCTTGGTTTGTAGACGAAAGATAAGATCATCTCATTTGAGCACAGTTTCCGTTGTTTAAGAAAAACAGTGGGTGATTGTATTCAAATTAGCTTGGGTTTTAAGTCTTGTTAGATGTACTGATCAAAATGACATGAAGGTAAATAAACTGAACAGAGTTTGTTGTCCGCAACTGACAAGTCGGCGAGCTAGTTTACGAGAGCAGAGTGTTGCTAAAAGTGAC